AAAAAAAAAAAAAAAAAAAAAAAGAAACCTTTATCTGTAGGAAAATACCTGAAATATTTACAGGAAAATGGCAGTGTGTTGAATTTACACTAAAATATTCCAACAAAAGAAAAAAATTTAGAGGTGATAGCAGGACTACATGAAACAAGATGATAAAATACTGATAGCCATTGGAGCTGGGTGATGGGTGCACAGGGGTCTATACAATTCTCTCTAGTTTATGGTTGAAATTTTCCATGACCAAACCATTTAAATTTTACAAGACAAATGCTTAAGGAAAAAACTCTTTAAAGACTTCCTTATATAAAACATCCAGGCACAGTGGCTCATGCCTGTAGTCCCAGCATTTTGGGAGGCTGAGGTGGGAGGATCGCTTGAGCCTAGGAGTTCAAGATTAACCTGAGCAACAGAGCAATACTCTGTCTCTGTAAAAAAATAAAAAAACTAGGCACATGTGGTGATGCATGCCTGTAGTCCCAGTTACTCACGAGGCCGAGGCAGAAGGATATCTAAGCGCAGGAGTTCGAGGTTATGGCGAGCCATGATCCGGCCACTGCACACTAGCCTGGATGACTGAGACTGACTCAAAAAAAAAAAAAAAAAAAACCTCCTTGTATAAAATGAATATTCTTTTGGAATGAGAAAGACTGGCCCAATTTATTTCTGTTTTAAGCTCAGATTTCCATTCTGGGTTTTTATAGTGCCAGGTAGATTGAATGGATATGTTGTAAGATGCCCGTGAAGTATGCTACAGTTCATTTCTATATCTTGCTCTAGTTCAAGACAGGACCTCATCTTTTATTCTATCCTGCAGCCAGAGGGTCTCCTCTGGGCTAGGATTAATCTTAGCAGGATTAAAGCTGACTCTCTGCATGACCCCCAATTAACATGTTTTTCTCAACTAATTTTATTCATTCACTCATACCATCATGTAGAACTGGGTATGAAACCTGGTTCATGTTTTGGTTTCCAACTATCTCAAAAATTACTTTTTGACCAGGTGGGGTGGCTCACACCTGTAATCCCAGCGCTATGGGAGGCAGAGGTAATGGATTGCTTGAGTCCAGGAGTTCAAGGCCAGATTAGACAACCCAGCAAGACCTCAGAGCTTTACAATTTAACTTACTTAGCTATCTATTTAGTATCACTATGTGCTGTGCATCATACAAAAGAGTTCAAGAGCTTTGAGGAACTGATGACTGGGGGTTAGGAGTGGAAGAAGGAGAGAGGATTGTGCTAGGGATGAAATTTACACAGATAACTGTTACAGGGTAGAATGGGAAAAGTACTATCAGGGAATTACAAGTGTTACTGGAGGGCAGAGGAGAGACCGAGGAAGGTCTGTATGGGAAAGTGGCATTCAAGCTGGGTCATAAAAGACTCTGGAGTCACCCGAATGTTCTCTGAGAGGCAGAAGGGCAAATGCAAAAGCATAAAGCAACTATGCCATATGTAAATTCCAGGAACAGACAATGGATCAACAACAGGTGAGCCATGGCAATGCCATAAACCAGAGTCTTCCCTTGGAAATACATGTGCACAGAAAGAACCATCCAGCCTGGAGTCAAGGAGGCCTGCCCCACTTCCAACCACCTTCCCACGGCTTCTGCTGTCTGGAAAGGCAACAAAGTGTGGTCTCACTAGTCGAGCCTAATTGAGAGTATCTGAATTGTTAAAATGTCAAAATTACTGGTCTTAAAAAAAAAAATCAAACATGTAGTTTTGTTGCTTTAAGAAAATACAGCACTTTGGGAGGCCGAGGTGAGTGAATTGCCTGAGCCCGCGGGTTCGAGACCCGCCT